TTTTATATAATTGAATTCCCATTGAGATGGCAAATTAGATCTCATTCAATTCTAATTGAATTTAAATTCCAATTTAATTCTAAATTAATATTGTTTTATTAACCAAGCTCTAGGCAAAATAATTCAATTTCAATTCTATCTTAATTCTAAATCAATATTAATTTAAATAATGGATTCTTATTCAATGCGTTTCATTCAATTCTAATTTAATTCCAATCTATTTTTAATTTAGATTTATTTCAATCTATTTTGTATTTATTTCCAATTATGGCTCTTCCAATTTATTGATAATTAATTTCTAATATTAATGCCTTTATATAATGCAGATTCAATTGCTTTGCATATCTAATTTTATATTATTATCATTGCAAATTGGGTTTGGTTGCTATATGTCTAATTTCATCCTATTTTGATTCTAGTTCAATATATATAGAATTCTAATTCAATTTTGGTGTCGATGATGAATTTAATTCATTTAAGAAAATACATATATTTATATTATAAAAATTTCATAAAATCTCTCATATTTAAATCAATACCATTTCTCTAGAAATAAATGAAAAATTCATTCAAATTAAAATTAAATTGAAAAAGAATATATTATTAGAATTGAATTTGTCTTATATAATAATGAAATTAAATTTACTTTGAAATCAAATTAGAATTAGATTTGTATTGAATCCCAAATATATTAAAATCTATAATAATAGATATTTAAATCAAAATAGAATTTTCAAATAATTGAAATAGATTCAAATTTGAAATTGAATATAGAATATAGAATAGAATAAATTGGAATAGAATAGGATTTATAATTCTTTGCTTTCTAATTATAATGCATTTGTTCAATTGCATTCAATATAAATAATATAATTCCCACCCTAAAAATAAAACAATAAATTAAATAGATTATTCCATCCAAGAATTATTTAATAAATTCATAACCTCATGGATTTAGATTATTTATAATATATAAATAAATAGATAAATATATATATTAATTGCATATCAATATTGAAAATTATAAATTTTAGGGGAATTAATATATATATATTCATCATTCATAATGCATTCTTCATCGTCATAATAATAATTTCAATAATATATGTATATATTTTTTTGTATATATTATTTAAAATATATTTTTTTATTCAAATAATCAAATTAAATCTATATATATTAAATAAATATTAAATTATATTCAAATAATATATTTTTATATATATTTATAAAATCCCCATTATCATCCAATCATTCAAATTCGAACAATAAATCCAATTTAAATAACCTAAATTTATAAATATCGTCTCCAATAAAAAACAATAAAACATCAAAAAAAATATAAATCGAACAACAAAAAATTAAATAAATAATCTAATTTTTTCTAAATTCAAAACTTTCGAAAAAAATATTACCTAATATTAAGTATCTATAAAAACATATATCAATCTCAAACCATTTATATTCAATATATAAAACTAAAAATTCAAAAATCTAATATAAATTAAATTATCATTAAGATTAATTATATAATTTCATCACGATAAATATATCTATTCATTCATTCACGACCGGCGGAGCGAATCCGCCCGTGTTGGGCGAGCAATCGACGAAAGTCAATCGGCGGTCTCGAAGGACAGCTAGCCCGGGCGGCTCTGGCAGCAACTAAGCGCGAAAAAGTGGCACGAACGGGTTTGGTCGGTTGACCACTGTACGGTAAGCATCGGTCAAGTTGTTTGTTCGTGTCAGCCAAACAACATAGATGTCTTCCTCCATTGCTGTTACGTGTGGGACAGAGATGGGTACTCGATCATCATCACACAGAAATCTGCCGCCCCCCGTGCGGAGGAGGCATTGATAGTGGCCTGTGGTCGGTTCATGACCTCGGTGCAAGGCAGTTGCAACAACCTGATACTCAATCCATATGACCGTCCGTCCGGATGAATGCATGAAGCACGGCATCAAGACATGTTGTCGATTCCAGCTGATCAAGGTCTTAGATCGAATGCCAAGTGCTGGAAATCGATTGATCTGCAAGCAAACTGTGGTAGCGGAGCCAGCTAGTCCTAAACAGTACGGGGGTTGGGAGTGCCACATGTGAACAAGTTCTTGCAATGTGCATCCGACGGGCTTTTCTTCTCTCATGACGATTGGCGAGCAGGTCCAGCCCCAGTCCTCTATCGAGGCATCAAAACGAGCCTCCCAGCGAGGTGCCTGCGAAGTCGTCACGAAAATCGGACGGTGCATAGTGTGCCTAAGCCAACCTAAGAATTCAGCCACATCGTGCTGAGCCCCCTTGGCATGTGAAGCGAACCAGCCATCAAGCAAGGTTCCCAAACAGCTTGGGTCAGAGAGCCCCAGTGAGTTGGGTCCCCGGTCCAGCAGCCGCATGAGTGGCTCCTTCCAAGTGCCAAGCATATCCCAAGAAAAGGTGTTGTCCATACAACAGGCCCAAAGTTCACCGATCAAAGCGGTGTTCATGAAGCAATCGTTGGCCTCATTGCCAAGGCTCATTTCTAACAGCAATGTCCTCATCTTTTGAGGGTCCGGGCCACCGCTTGTGCCAAGGGTGATCGTTGCAATGTCGAGGGTCGTAGCCGCACTGCAATCAACTGTGTGAGGCCATTGCCTGTGAGCTTGGTCAGGAGGTCGAACAATTCCTGGCTGGCTGAACTCCTGAGGGAGATGTCGAGTCTCCAAGGAATCACCACATTGGATGTGGGCCCCACCTGGTCCGAAGGCATCGGTTTCAATGCCGTGAACCGATGAATCAGTTCCGGCTGGTTCGCAAGCGTGTGGATGCGTTCGATCATCTTTGAGGCATCCTCGGAGGAGATCGGATCTCGGGACGACGGCTTCAGTGTCTTGTCCTGATGGTCCCACTGAAGATAGTTCCATGCATTCGTGGTGGTCAAGATCTGTTTGGACCGAAGGGCCAGGATCAGTTCGTGGTCGTTTGACCCTAGTGGAAGCTGGGCAGCTCTGCTTGCAAGTTCTTCGAACACCGACTGAAACATCAACTGACGGAGCGGGCGATCTACCTTGCCTTGCTCTCGTTGGCCATGCCATGTCCTCGAGATCTGAAGCATCTGCGGAAGGATCGAACTCTTGCCGGCCTGGATGAACAAAAGGAAAGTACGATCGAGGTTCAACTGGTTCAGTTGGTCCTCTTGCCTCAAGGTCAGTCTGGCCAACATACCCAGCAGAGTGGAATCGTCGACCGAGCGAGAAGCCGATGAGTGCGATGACCTCCTCTGTCCGGATCGGAAACGCTGCTGACCGGATGAGGGTTCCTCCTCGTTGGGTCGTTGCCGTTTGAAGTGACTGGAACACACCTCCATCAGGTCTGAAAAAGATTGATCCTCTTCTTTCAAATGATCCATCCCGCAGACCCTGGTGGAGGCACCAATGATACCAGTCTTGGGCCAGGACATGCTCAAGTTCGAAGAGGCATGTTTGAAACAACTGGTGTTGAAGATACAAACTGTCATGCACTTGAACGTAATCAGGATGGAATGGCGCGAGGTCATCTGAGTTCCACGCCCAAAAGATGGGATGTACTCGGGTGCAAACATGAGGCAGGTTGAGAGGCACTGCATGCTCAATCTGAACCTGCGGGTGATCTGGGAAATGAGCCAACCAGGGTGTGACATGAACATACCAGCTCAGTCTGTGTTCAGGCCCAAAAATGGGTGTGTGAACCACAACAGAGTACGAACTGCTCAAAGGATGCGCACAAAGATCATGAGTCATCGTGGGGTGCCAAGCTGGCGTGTCAAGTGGTACGTGCAATCCACAGGGGCTTGGCCCTTTATATGGTGAGGCAGCAATCAATACCCTGACTTGCTTGTCAATGAGAGTCTCAGGTTGGTCATGTACAAGCACTAGCATGTCAGACTCGGACATGGTCATGTGGAGAGAGCGGTCCGGTCAGCAGGTCCAAAGTGCATGTCTTTGACCCATTCGATCAACAATGCTAGGCACGTGGCACGTTGGTAGTGCAATTTATATATATTCAAATTCAAATTATATTCAAATAATATAAATTAAATTATATTCAAATAATATATTTTTATATATATTTATAAAATCCCCATTATCATCCAATCATTCAAATTCGAACAATAAATCCAATTTAAATAACCTAAATTTATAAATATCGTCTCCAATAAAAAACAATAAAACATCAAAAAAAATATAAATCGAACAACAAAAAATTAAAATAAATAATCTAATTTTTTCTAAATTCAAAACTTTCGAAAAAAATATTACCTAATATTAAATATCTATAAAAACATATATCAATTTCAAACCATTTATATTCAATATATAAAACTAAAAATTCAAAAATCTAATATAAATTAAATTATCATTAAGATTAATTATATAATTTCATCACGATAAATATATCTATAAAATCAATATATATATATAATTATTTAAATTATAAATCAAATAATATATATATTTTTTTTAAAAAACAAAAAAATATCCTCCTCAACATATTTAAATATATTTAATCCTTCTATTCCAAAATCAAATCCCCCAATCATTCTTTTAAATTAAATCTATTTAAGGTAATCTAAGATATTTAATCTCCCAATTTCAAACCAATTTTATTCATTACCATCGTCACACCACCACCATCATCACCATCTATCACCACCATCATCACCACATCTAAACCTTAGACCTTTAAATACACTATAATACACTATTTAGGATCTCTTATCGCAATAAAATCATTTAATATATATTAAATAAACTAACAAATCATAAAATATTCATAATAGTAATATGAATATCCATGAATATTCTACGTAATAATATTATGTTAAATATATTTCTGAATCCCAAGAATCGATTTGTTTTATTTTGTATAATAGAAATATTAAATGCATAATTAGTATTAATTATATAATATTTTAAGATTAATTTAGTTATTGGTGTTGATTATGGATATACATATATATATATATGTATGTATGTATATGGTTTGAGTAAACCATGTCAAATGAATTTTACATTGGATATGTTCAGCAATTCAAGCGCAGTGCCAAGCTCACCCATGCAACGAAGCCTGAACGTGTGGTTTCAGGTGGATCTTGAAAGGTTAAGATCCAATCTCCCAAGGCAGATTTCCCACGATAAGCTCCGAAACTCTCACTTGGAGGTATGCATCCTTCACAGTTGCTATCACTGAAAGTGGCATCGAAATCTCCAGCTGTGCCCCCACTGCTTGGAACCTTTAGGTGAATCTTGGGAAGATCACCAGGTGCTTGAAGATCGACCTCCAAACCGGCGGTTTCTAAGCCCATAGTACTCAAAGTCAGCTGCACTTCTTCAATGATGTAGTTCTGCAAGCTGGGCAAAGCTTTCACAGAGATCTTCACCTGGAAGTTCCCAGTGCTTGGTGTCTCGAAGTGCTCTGGTGCAATATGCCATGGACTTGAACAGAAATCACAAGAGGGTGTACAGCGCTGAAGGCATGTGCAGTCGGCACCAGAGTAGGGTGATTTGCAACAGGTTTGCTTGCAATGCTCGCACGAGTCTTCGAAGGGATGGAGAGTAGGGTTGAATTTCACGTTCTTCGTATTGTTCTCAGTGTGGTTAACGGTGACATTGAAATTCACCTCAGGGTCACCATCGTCAAAATCAGGACCACTCAACGCACTCCCAGACCCAATCTGGATCAATGAAGGGTCTTCCACCACCTCACAAACCTCACATCGTCCAAAGACAGCAAGGCTGAGGAGTCCGATCAGACTTAGCCACATGGCGAGTGTGAACGTGGGTTCGATTGAGCTTCAGGATACTTCAGCCAAAAATGCACCAGTGAACACCCATGGGAAGATTGGGTCCAATTATCTAGAAAATCAAGTAAAACTGCAAAAAGCCAACGCGCACATGTTCTGTTCTGCGTTGCTATGTCAGATTCTAAAGCACAAAGCCAAACACACGAACACGCTGCACGATGATTGCACCTGTGCATGTTGATTTTCGCAGGCCGCTGAGTTGCTTCATGGAAGCAATATTGGGGTCACGAAATTGACATGTAGTTGACAATCAAGTTTCTCAAGATTGACAATTCATGGAATACTGCTTCTCCTTAACCTTCGCCTTTGAGATTTCCATGGCGCTTCCGGTTCCGGTGTCTCCTTGTCATCCCCCAACAAGGCAGCTTCGTATTTGCGAATGGTCTCTTTCATCTCCTCCAAGAAAGGAGAAAGAGACGTGGCGGAAGCCGCGACATCGGCTTGCGTTCCGGCTGTGGCCATTGGCGGAGTCGGTGTCGCTGGCGTCGACAGTGTCCCCGTGGCCGAGTTTCCCAAGTTCGCCATCGATGGAGGTGGAGGTGGAGGTGGTGGCACGACTTGGCCAGGGCTGGTGGTGGTGAATGAAGGCACTGACTGGTCTGAAAGGAAGGATGGAAATGATGGAAGCATGTTTTTCAAGGATCTAAGTGCAGAATCAACCAGTGTGCTTGCTGGTTTCAGGTCAGTTGACCCATTAAGCTTGTGATCCTGTTGAGCATCTGGGACTTCGCGTGGCATCCACTTGAACTGATAGGTCGGTTCAATGGGCAATTCAGACTTGATGGCTTTTTGAAAGCATAAGTACGGCAAGTAAAGCGTTCTCGTCGACGAGAACTCGTTCACCACCTCATCCAGCTTCACTCGAAGACCCACACGGCGTAAGCGCTCCAGCAATGCTGGTGGATTTCGCACGAAGTTCTCCCCCAGAAAAACGCTCAACGGAGCCGGAGCTGACGGAGCGACCTTCGTCTCCGTCGTCTCCGTCTCTGTCAGCGACGTGAGAAGAGAGAAACTACTCTCGTCGTCAAGGGAGTTGTGGGCCAAATCCAATGCTCTTAGATGTCCCTGTTGAAGAAATTCACGAAGTACCGTCATCGACCTCACGACGCGTTAAAATGTGTTGTCTTTCTTTAAATGCTTTGCATAATCTGAAAAAGCAAATCCAAACCAATTCTTGCTTCGGAGCGTGCCTGGGAGTTATGGAGTTGGAGGCTAAATAAAGGCGTTCCACCAGCAAAGGCATTGAAGACAAACAGTGCAGTAGCTTTTCAACACCTCCCGGACTCACTATTGCAGGACACGAAATGGATGTCTCTTGCGAAAGAATAAGAAGAACGTCCATGCAAAGTCATACAAAAGCAAGCAGCATCTTAGTATTCGCCGGTGCCTGGTGATCATGTGTGTCTTCATCTTACTTGTTTTGCTTTCACTTGGTCTTCATCTCCAAATCCGGCCTTCGTCTTGCAGATTGGTTCCCCGGAAATCCGCCCAGCACGGCAGCTTGGGCGCCACCGATGCACCAGCCACGCCAGCGGCATAGGCAGCGGCGTTCAGCGCTTGTTGCACTAAACCCTTGGGGGCCAAGAGCCAACGTGAAAGCAGTTCCAGTCGATCCATTCCAAGGAGAAAACCTCCAAAGACCAACTCTAAGCGATGTGGAACCGATCGTTCATGGCTCTTGCAAACCACTCGGACGCGACCTGCAAGCCATTCGGGCAACGCGTCGGACGTGTGCCATGACCTCTCCGCATGTCGCCGTGGTCGTTTGGCATCTCCGTTCCACGTGGCCATGACCTCTCCGTCCGTCTCATGGCGGTGCGTGGCGCCGAGAGAAAGTGGCCCTGTGGCCCATGGGAAAGAGTTTCTGTTGAAAATATCAGACTGCTGGCATAGAAGCAAAAAACAAGGCTAAATATGCATGCTTGGCAACCATTGATCGATTAAAAACAAATGAAATATAATCGTCGAAATGTTAGATATTGAACGAAGGGAACGAGTGGTTCGTGCGTGGAAATGGTACTAGTAGCAATGCCCTGGTTATTAGTAGCGATGCCCTTGTTACTAGTAGCTTCTTGTTCCTAGTAGTAAGGCCAGGAGCTACTAGTAGCTTCCATCATGAAGTTGAGCAAGCTCAAGGCTCACGGTGAACAAAGGTCTGGTAGAATGAAGGCAAGGGCTACTGCTTTGCTCCCTTGATTCATTGTTGCACTGCTCTGGGCAAAGAATAATACGTAGCTTCTTGCTACTAGTAGCGTCCTTGCTCCTAGTAGTAAGGCCAGGAGCCCCTAGTAGCGAACCTTGTTACTAACAGGCACACTTTTTGCGCTTCACTCCGCATCACTCCGCATCATTGGCCTGGACATTCCCCATCTCGCACTCCCCACTCCCACATGTTTTCCTAGCACTGTCTTCGACACGCTTCCATCTTCCAACTGTGCTCAAACTGTGCCTTTCCACTTTTTGCAGCCTCTGCCTTGGCAACCAAGCAAATGCATAGCAGAAGGTGTTGCTATAAAGGCAAAGAAGACAAAGTCGGACAAATGGAAAGCTTTACAGAAGGCCTCAAGAAGAAAAGGAAATGAACTCAAAAGACATGTTTTTGCATGTCGTCACTGAACAATCAAACAGCGGTCCTCGCGCAACTTTTGAAGCTGCTCCTTGACTGACGCTCAACTGACGCTCCGCCACAGGGGTGGAGGTACTTATACACCATTCATAAAACCTACTTGCGATGGCCTCCAAAATAAGAGCGATTTGTGCAACGGTGTGCACATTGTCCGCGCCAGTCTTGGTTTGCTCTCACAAGTTGGGTGAAGACTATGTGGCAAGCAGGTCACGTCTGCCTTTGGTATAGGATTGTTGGCCTTCAATAATTGATTCCATAGATGGAGGTCCAAAAAAGTCCGTTCGTATCACATTGAGAAAAACACAGAGATTCTCAATATCTTCACGCTTCGGTCCTCGTGAACCTTGCGTCTCTCGTCCAGCCACTCTTTGATATTGGCCACAGCCTCCTTAGCCCAAGCCAAGGAATCGGAATCCCACATTATCCCACCAACGGCGAAAACCAAGCTGTCTGGGCACCTCTGGTTTGTTTTTGAAGAACATGAAGTAGCCTGGCGATGAAATCGGGCGCCAGAATCAGTCGTCCAAGCCGACATAGTCTTCATCAATCCGCTCCCACCTTGCAGCTCTGCCATACTTAGTCCCTCGTCCTCAAAGGCGTGTCTGTTGGTCCCAAATGTTGTTTCTCATAAAATGAGCGTCCTCGCTCCTAGTAGCTTCTTGCTCCTAGTAGTAAGGCCAGGAGCCCCTAGTAGCGTCCTTGCTCCTAGTAGTATGGCCAGGAGCCCTAGTAGCGTCCTTTAATGTAATGTCGCAAGATGTTTGCATCATTTAACATCATTGAACAGCAAATTCTGGGTCTCAAAGAGTCTCGGTCCTCGCAAACAGTGGCAAAGGTTTCCGACAGATCCTGGCAGGAAAGGTACGGAACATCGAAGCATGCCGGAAAACCCGCTGAAATTGTCAATCTCGCCTCTTGACCAGGGAAAAACCGCAAGTACATCATTTTCAGCTGTGACCTAACATCTCGTTCGAAGAAACGAGCAAGCTACGGTGGCGTGGGACTGCCGAGAGGTTGCGAAAGATTGCTTCCCACCTAGAAAAAAATACATACACGAAGATCCCACGGCGTCCATACACAAATTACAAAGTCACCTCCTCCAACCTACTGGCGATGGCCTTCAACCTGCAATCATACACTCTGAAGAAGTGTGAAATTACACATAAGCAAAACCAAACACATACACACACTGCTTGCAACCATCCATCCCGCGCCTCAACGCTCCTAGTATGGAACCAGGTATGCAGGGTAGGGGACAGTGGTGATATTTGTACGAAAGAACGTGTGAATGCATCATGGACATGCAATGAAAAGAAGTGAAACCAAATCAATTGGGCACTCTGGGTGCTGGGATTGCAAGCGGTTTCCTTCGCGATATGGCAAAGTGCGCAGATTTATCTGATTTCTGCACGGTGTGTCAATGCGTTCATAGAAACCGGTGCTTGCATGTAGTAAGGAAAACAAAAGAGTTCTCGGATCTGCAAGATCCACCGTAGGGTTTGGCAAAGATGGGTGACGACGACCTAATAACGTAAAACCAAAGCTAAGGTGTTGTAAGCCCATTGCACCGCTTTTGTGGCAAGTAGGTCAAGGCAGCTTGTATAAAACCCAGCTATACAACGGCCTCCAACCTACTAGCGATGGCCTCTAGCGAAATAGCAATGGCCTCCAACCAGTCTCTCAGTTTGGTTTCAGGAAGCCAAGATACCTGGAGGCCAAGCCGATGTATATCGACAGATCAACTCGCCCAGGTCTTACCAGTGCCCTAGGCAGTGCATGGAAGTGGTTCGTAGTCATGAAGACCACTCTCTCCTGCGGTTCGGAAACTCCGCAGCCCATGGTGTAACTCGTAAAAGAATTACACCGGCATAGACCCCAGATAGCGACTAAGTCTAAAATGGGGAGACAGTTGGGAAGACCAGCGGCAGCGACAGCGGTGGACCAAGCCATCGATCAGCCACTTAGTCATTGTCATTGAGAAGCAAGAACCCCTATGGCTTTCAGCTACCTGAGGGGGAAAAAGCCACCAGTCGACCTATCTAGTCGTTTACTCAATCACCTCCTGCTTGCTTCATCCGCACCGGCCACATCTTTTCAAAAAATCCGGGCTCGATGTATCACGCCTCAGTGGCGATGACGCCATCCAAGGCATTCAAGAGGCCGCTGAAGCTCACACGAGTGACCTCGTTGGAAGGAGAGATGACACTGATTAGCAATTTTCTTTTTGACAAATACATCAAAAGAACTCCAAAAAACATCCAACCAAAATAACCAAATGGTTCAATCTCTAGGATGTCTTTACAGATCTGTTGCTCTCTTTTGCCGGTGGCACAGATTCGTGTTTCTTGATGCTAGCCCGGAAGTCTTAAACGTCACCCGGTCAAGAGTGGTGAAGTGGTCTACAAGCTGAAGGCAAACAACATATCGTTATACGAGTAGTTGTCATCTTGTTTGCTTGTTTAATGAACAATGACCTCTTTCGCTACCAAGAACAGGGCCCCACACTCCTGCATATGGCCCAGAGGGATCTGCGGGGGTTTGCTGCCCCACGGCAAAGTCCACATCCTGCCCAGAGCGATGGCCTCCAACCTAATAGCAAAACCAACCTAATTAGGAATGGCCTCCAACCTAATAGCACTTATATAAATGATAAGGTGGCACACAAATCCCCTAGGAAAAGTGCAAGCGCCAATGCTATGCCAAAAACCAAGGGTGAAAGCTCACGAACTCATGAATGATGAACCTCGACGATCAATAATAGTGTCTGAAGAACTATGGTGCGGAAGCTATCTTTCAGAAGCTAGGGATGTTGCGAACATGTCGGAAACTATGAATCGGAAACTGCCTATGTTCTGGAAACTGTTTGGAAAGGTTCGGAAGATTGTTACTACTAGTAAGGCACTTGTTACTACTAGCGTGGCACTTGTTACTACTAGCGTGGCACTTGTTCCTAGTAGCTTCTTGTTACTACTAGTAAGGCACCTGTTACTACTAGCGTGGCACTTGTTCCTAGTAGCTTCTTGTTTCTAGCTTCTGAAACCGTGTTTTGGAAGTCATTTCGGAACCGCATGACCTCCCTTCCAAGCCAGGAAGCAAAGAACGTCACCCACTCCCAAGCCCCACCCCCAACCAACCCTCTCCCCACCCACTTACCCCCAAGTCAGCAAGTATAGATCCTGAAAGGTAGATTCTGAACCTGAAACGAGTTCTTGAAACGCACATAGTTTCTGAAACCCACGAGTATAGCCCCTGAAACGTGGCTGCTGAAACGCGTGCATGGTTGCTAAAACAGAGTTTCTTGCTCGATGACCAATGTCAGACATGCAGCCAACCAACATCGAACTCCTGCACCAAGTAGTGACAAAGGATTTCTCACCCACTCCCCACATCTCAAAACATCAATCCACAAGAAAAGGGCATGTCGAAAAAGCATGTCAGTTCTTTAGACGTTTAGTTTAGACCTTTTTCAAATAGAAACCATAGAAAAAGGTTCAAAGGTCTAGCCAAAAAACAGGACATTGCGTCAGCCCTTTCATGTCCTGTACATCGAAAACGGCTCCAAATACAACTCCAACCCCATTGATCTCCCTCGGGCCCTGCCTCCAAAAGCACCAAACATCGTGGTGGCACCACAGCGAGCATATGTGCAAGTCGGTCATCGGTCATACTTGGGTCACCCAAGTTGAGCACACAAATGTTGTAGCCTCGCACGCTTTCTTCGCCAAGCTGAGTTCGGGGCTTGACTTGCTATAGAAACAATCCTATCAAGAATGTGTTTCAAGAAAGCATCAATCACAAAGGTTGGAGCGCTACTAGGTTGGAGGCCATCGCTAGTAGGTATCTAAGCAGTGGAAGAAACTTGCTGAAAGCCTTGTAAGGAGCCTTGTAGGGTGGAGTTCCGCCCAACAAGGGTTAGGGCTTTGCGTGGCCTTCAACCTAATAGCGATGGCCTCCAACCTAAGAGCGATGGGCTCCAACCTACTAAGGATGGCCTCCAACCTAAAAGCTTTCTTAGGTGAGTGGAAACCATGTCCCCACCATACTGAGGCCAAGTACCCAAACGACCAGCAAGCGCTGAGACAAAGGAAGACCTTACTTTGCAACTACGTCCTTCGGAATAAGAGCCACATAAGAACCACTCTCTGCAACTACGGCGTGCAGCAATTCTTGATGATGGCATATTAGATGAACACTTGCATGATTCATCATGATTCTGATGGCCCGAGGCGTCCTTTTCTTGCATGATCCAATGATATTGAATGATATCCAATGATATCCAATGATCCTGCTCTTGTGCTTCGACAGATCGAGGGCTGCACTTCCCACAGCCAGGTGGGCCGTGCAAAAGGTAGCCTCGTCGATATGGGATACCTCTGTCCAAGTACCTTACGTCTCGGGCAAGAACTGCTGACCCTTCTCAGTAGCGCATTGGCCACAAACAAGAGGGCGGCACCATTTATGGCTCTGTAGAAAATCCTGGATGTCATCAAATACCTCCCAAACAGCAGGATGGCATGGTTTGCATGTTTTCTATCGAATCATGGAAATCTGTTGGACAAATTGGTAAAAAAAGACTGAAGCGCACATGATTTGAAACTCCTGAATCCAGAACCACGGAATCGAAGGGCCTGCACAACTTGCTCAAATTCACTATATTTCACCAAAACATTCGCTCCTTTTCTTGCTACTAGGGGCTCCTGGCCTTACTACTAGGAACAAGAATCTACTAGTAACAAGGACGCTATTAGGGGCTCCTGGCATCGCTACTAGGAGCAAGGACACTTCTGGGGGCTCCTGGCCTTACGAAGTTTCCGATTTCGCTCCCCTGGGTGTTGGGAAGCCTAATCACCCAATCGCCCTTTGTCAAACGAGAATCTCATTTGGGACGAGGAATGCGAGTGGCTTCTCATTCTCATCTTCCTTCTTCCTCTCATCTACTAGTAGCTTCTAGCTAATTCTTAGTAACGATGCACTTGTTACTAGTAGCTTCTTGCTACCAATAGCGATGCCCTTGTTACAAATAGCGATGCCCTGGCCTGATTCTCTTTGGATTTCCAAAGGGCCTCCATTCGTGCCCGTAACACCTCAGCGTCAACTCCAAGTCATGTCGCCGCTCCACTCAGTGAAAGCCAAGCGACTGGTAGATGATTGTCATGCCCTCTTCCCGTTCAAGAGCTGCCTCCAAATACGTCCGACGAGGCAACATAAATCAAACTTGAAAACTGGCTTGGACAGTTCCCTGGCTCAAAATTGTACAAGGCGAGTCAGGCCAGGCAAATTAGAACAAATCTTTCTCGCCTGTTTCGCCTCCGCCAGGATGTCTTGGAAGACGTTGGGTCGAATCCTAAACGGACAGCATTCATTGGGATTCTTTTTCAGCGAGTAGACCTCCGACCCGTCACCACTAAGTCAACCCTAATGCATTCCAAGTGATTGTACACCTTGGTTGCCGGTGCCAACTGAGCGCCCCAACGACAAGGCTGTCAGCGTCAGCGTCTCCCATGGAGCTCCGGTGGACATGTCCACGGTTTTGGTCTCAAGAACGACCAGCGAAAATCAAAGCTGTCAGCTGCTAGAGGCACCGGAACGAGTTTATTTTAGATCCTAAAATAAGCTGTTGAAGCATAGATAACCATTGTGTTCATTTGAGGCGGAGGTCAGGAGCCGCTGTGACGTCATTCCTCCCATCGGCCTCTCGGGCTCGGTCGACCAAGATGAAGTTCCCCCGCCACCTGGCGCGGGACGCGACGCTCAGCGGCTCAGCCGCTCGGCCGCGAGCGGAGCGGCCGCTCCGGATGCGCTCGACCTGACCCAGTGTCGGCCAGGACTGGGAATGAAGTCGAAAGCTGCCTGGCAAGCAAGTAGGAGCAAGGACGCTACTAGGGGCTCCTAGCATCGCTACTAGGAGCAAGGACGATACTAGGAGCAGTGTGTTTCACGTCAGTTCCCATGTCCGTCTGCAAAAAACTCAGACTTGATGGATCTTCTTTGGGGTTCTCGCATTCGTTCCTTCAAGCTGAAGCACCCAATTTCTTGGATACAAAGCTTTGTGTGGCTGATCAAAGCAGGCGGGGTGGCGGTTTGTCTTCCCGCTGCGTCCTCGAATAGCTGGGAAGAAGCATTGAAAAGTCCGAGTTCCCGGCGCACACCATGCGCTAGCCTGTTTGTTTCTTCGCATTCTGTCTTGTCTTTTTCTTGCTCCTTGTCCTCTTGCGTTTGGAGAACAAACAATGCAACAAGCGATCATCCAAATCCAAGATGCACGGTGTCCTTGCTGTAGGTGGTTTCCACACCCAAATGGCGTGAGCCATGAATCCGATTGGCTACCATCCATTGCATGACCTTCGGCGAGTGTGACGTCGTGTAGCTGCAAGCAAAGCGTCAAGTAGATAACCCTTGAACATGTCAAAAGGCTCATTAAGCACTAAAGACTGACATCATCCGCGTGACGAAGGATCAGCTTTCCACCAGGGATCATGTCAAAATCGGTCAATGGCTGGAGCCATGCCATCGGGCTCGAGGCTATCTTGTGTACCATGCGAGACTGGCAGGTTACGAGACTCGCACCCATTGGTACGCATAGTCTTTGGAGGGTATCTCCAAGGACATCAGAACCTGCCAACGAATTCAACCAAATCTGAAAGAAATGCTTCCTGGCTCATGGCCATTGAGTCCAGCAACTACACAGACCTTAAGAGATATTACCCTGGCATTCGGTTTGTCGGCCAAAACGTGACCAGAAAGCCACATGGGCAGTTGCTCACATCAGAACACCACCAGCCTGACGTCGAAAGACCACCTCTGCCACAGCTGCCCCCCGGGACAAAAGGCTCATGGCTGCACCTCGGGAAAAAGAAAAGAAACAACCGGTCTTCTCTCGTCACTCGGTGATGACTGAGTGTTTGTCCCATTGCGCCCAAGCCGAAGCCTGCTGTGAAAAGCCTGGCTTTTGGACCAAAACTTGGAAAAGCGCAAAACATTTCATGTTGCACGATAAATTTATGAGCAAGGACGCTACTAGGGGCTCCTGGCATCGCTACTAGGAACAAGGACGCTACTAGGGGCTCCTGGCCTTACTACTAGGAGCAATGACGGTACTAGGAAATAGTAAATAGATGGGTGGAAAAAAGGAGCAAGTCTCGCAAGAAGAATTGTAGCAGGTCAGAGACTGATAAAGGCACGTTGGCTTTGTCAGCACGCACGCAGAGGTTGGCAAACAGGGCGGCAGCGCGGATTTCCCACGAGCCATTCCGGCAACGGAAGTGGAAACCTTGGCTTCGACACCGGTGCATGGTGAAGAAATGCGCTTAGGTCTAGGTGCTGTGAATTGTCTAGAATCTCTAAACATATCTGCATCCTTCCTACCCTCCTTGCTACTACGAGAAGGCGCACAGTAGGCACACTTTCACTCGAGCTCCTGGCTTTGAAGCATCGATCGGAGGCATTGGCATGGACCCCGAAGCGCCGGCACCGGCACCGCCGAGGGCTGCCATGTTGAGGGCTGCCATGTTTCAAGCGAACGATGCTCAGATCATTCAATCATGAATTTCTGAGTTGAAGCTAGTAACAAAGGGCATCGCTACGAACGGAGCAAGGACACTACGAACCTAGCTCCAAATGCAGATCTTCCGAAGTTCCGGTGATTTTGGTCTTGAGTAGTTGTCCAGAGTGTTCACCAACTCCTGTGGGTTTCTCTGCATTGGTGCTGGCTTCCAAAAGCATTGCTTGTCACTTTCGTTCAAGGCTTACGAGAAGATGGGTCATACTCCACATGTCCGATTCCAATATCTTTGTGATATATGCATGTATATATATATATATATTATATTATAGAAAAATATATGCGGGTCTACCCTGCATGTATATATGCATGTATATATACTTTAAGGACTGTTCTGAGATGCTTCAAGTTTAGAAATTGAGCTCGATAAGTGAAGGCTCCGGCGAAAGCGCTGCGGTTTGCAAATCGTACCCACATCCAAACTTAAATCTGAAGGTTTCAAATTCCACGTTGCCCAATCCTTTCTCGCAAGGTTCAACAGATCGCATGGATCCAAAAACATCCAGGATCCAATGCCAAGATCAGTGCAAAGGCAAAAGCGGCGTAGCACACAGCTAGAGCCGCTGCCCAGAATGAGGCTTCTTAGAAGCACATCAAGAAAACGATGTCTGGATCCGGAGATTTCTTGTGGCGAGGAGCCACACTTGGTCTATTGGCAGGACAGCCCAGATGTGTCAGTTGTGACATGGTGTGACTTATCGATCAAGCACACTCCATAATGCACCCTCTGTCAGCTCGTCATCGTCCTTGGAGATTTGATCAAAGAACCCTGAAAAATCGTGAGGTGTGAAAATATATCTTCCAACATTTTGACACTTAGATGAAAAGGTTGGAGGCCATTGCTATTAGGTTGGAGGCCATTCGTACTAATTAGGTTGGAGGCCAACAATTGCTGCAAAAGTTTGAATAAGCGAACCGCAAGAAGAAACTACAAGTTGCTTCTTGTTACTAGTAGCGATGCCAGGAGCCCCTAGTAGTATCCTTGCTCCTAGTAGCGATGCCCTTTGCTCCTAGTAGCGTCCTCCTAGAAGCTTTGCAAAGCCATTGACATGCCACACCAGTCCACACCCACTTTGGCCATGGAGCGAAGAAGGCTTTTGGCACTGGCAACGGCGCAAACTCGCCCACCGTGTGGGGCCTTGATGGAGGTGCTGGCCTGGAGCGATCGTGCGAACACCGTCGGTGGACACCGTCTCTTCCTTCGAGCAGAGGAGAAGTGCTGCTGGGCGAGAGCTACCATATAAGAAGCTACTGAAAAGCAACAAAGGGCATCGCTACGAACGGAGCAAGGACGCTGCTAGTAGTTCCTGGCCATACTACTAGGGACGAGAAGCTTCTAGGGGGGGCTCCTTACCTTACTACTAGGAACAAGAAGCAAGGATGCTACCAGGGGCTCCTGGCCTTACTACTAGGAACAAGAAGCTACTAGGGGCTCCTGGCATCGCTACTAGGAGCAAGGATGCTACTGGGGGCTCCTGGCCTTGCTACTAGGAACAAGAAGCTACTAGGGGCTCCTGGCATCGCTACTAAAGCAAGGATGCTACTAGGGGCTCCTGGCCTTACTACTAGGAACAAGAAGCTACTAGGGGCTCCTGGCATCGCTACTAGGAACAAGAATCGCTACTAGGGGCTCCTGGCCTTACTTCTAGGAACAAGGACGCTACTAGGGGCTCCTGGCCTTACTACTAGGAACAAGAACGCTACTAGGAGCTACTGCTACTAGGAACAAGGACGCTACTAGGGGCTCCTGGCCTTACTTCTAGGAACAAGGACGCTACTAGGGGCTCCTGGCCTTACTACTAGGAACAAGAACGCTACTAGGAGCTACTGGCCTTACTACTAGGAACAAGCACGCTACTAGGGGCTCCTGGCCTTACTTCTAGGAACAAGGACGCTACTAGGGGCTCCTGGCCCTACTACTAGGAACAAGGACGCTACTAGGGGCTACTGGCCCTACTGCTAGGAACAAGGACGCTACTAGGGGCTCCTGGCCTGGAACAAGGACGCTACTAGGGGCTCCTGGCCTTACTACTAGGAACAAGGACGCTACTAGGCTCCTGGCCTTACTACTAGGAACAAGGACGCTACTAGGGGCTCCTGGCCTTACTACTAGGAACAAGAAGCTGGTAGTAACAAAGGGGATCTAACATCAAAGCGCCTGTCGAATCGCGCTGGGCGAGAGCTCGGCCGCTTGTTGGCCTGGGTCTCGCAAGTACGAGGCCGATCAAGGCCACTAAAGGACACGGGTCTGGAATGCTTTCGAGAGCCTTGTGAAACAGGAATTGCTTTCGTGTAAGACAAATGCGGCGAAGTGAGGGACCCCGTTGCATACCCCGACCCACAACCGGTGCCACTCATGGTTGCAACTGACCCACCGGTCCGTTGCGGGAAGTGAGTTTCAGTGTCGAAACCGAGTGTTCAGCAACTTCAGTAAACACTCTTGAGCATTTACAGTACTGGTCTGGGTCGTTGTGTCTTTTGCTCTGAGGAAGACCCCAGTTTATAGTGGAAACATGTTTGTAGCTTGAGCGCTCTAAACTAGCTACGTGTTCCCGGACCATCGTAGACCCCAAACAAATCCTGCTTTCATCTGCATTCGGCAGAAGAACAAGTCAACCCCTTCTCTCCAACTTGGAATTTCCAAGAGACAAGTTCTTCAGCGTTGACCTCCGTCAAGGTCATACCTGGCTCCGTCTCCCCTCAAAGACTGAATTGGCTCCGATCCCCAGTGCCGCCAGGTTGGAGGCCATCGCCAGTAATTGACCTACCGAGACGTGCCGCTCCACTCCTTTTGGTCACCTGGAGGCACGTCCCGCAAAGCTTTGTTGCGGGACCCGAAGCAGGCGAAACAGAATCTTGGAGCGGAGAGGCGCAAGTCTTCTGGAAAAGGACGCCACTAGGGGCTCCTGGCATCGCTACAAGGTGCCAAATGAAGTCTCCAATGGAGGATCGCCGCAGCCCTGTGTCATTACTTCACATATTGGGCGTCTCATGTCTCATCTACAAACTCGGTTGGTTTTTGTCAAACGGTCCACAAATGTCAAACGGTTGTCTTGTCTACCTCACCGTCTGACGGTCAACAGCGGGAAGCTCCGCTCTTCACAAACTGGGTTTCGATCCTTCCGGTCGAAACCCGGCATACTCCGCATTCACCGGTGGACACCATCCACGCCCACGAAAAAGCTGCTTGTTTTTGGGATAGTCTTTGAAGACGCCAAAGTCTCTGTCATGTGTATAACTCAAACAAACTGGATCTGGAGCCGCTTCCTCCCGAGCATATGCTGGCATTCGATAGTCTTTGCTCTGTCGATATTCTGAGGAATGATTCCACAAAATCAGATTCAATCTCTCCCCTGATGTGATGTCATCTGCTCCATGTCTCTTCCTGCCCAAATGTACAACACAATGTCCCTTCTTGTGAGAATAGGTCATGGAGTACTTCCGATGATTTGCTGCTCCAGCAGCCCCGCAAAACTGAAGACCCGCTCCAGCAAAGTCCAGGCCAAGGCACACGTTGAATGTCACATCAGAGTCATCTGTATGCATATCGAGGCCCAAATCTTCGCCTTTCAGGGGTACGACATGTCCGATATATGGAGGCCAAAACAGGCCATCGCTAGGTTGGAGACCATCGCTATTAGGAGCTACTAGTGCATCGCTAGTAGGTTGGAGGCCATCCCAAGTAGGTTGGAGGCCATCGCAAGTAGGTTGGAGGCCATCGCTCTTAGGTTGGAGAAGTCGTAGCTTTACCTTCTGATCGCAGTCGTACTTTGGCCTTCACCATCCCTCCCACACCAAACTAGCGACATGCCCCAGCCTTCCCGATACCGAACGATAAAGCAATGATGGCCATCCCAGCAACTTCCAGGTCCGGGGAAAAGCTCTTCTCCCAACTTTTGAAGAAACTCTTGGAGCTTCTCCACAAAGGGCTCAAGTCCAATATCGCTCAAAATGATTCCATAGTTGTTCATGCTGTTGGGTCGCCGTGCAGGAAGCCCCGAGCTGTAGAAATTAAAGATCTCATCCAGCAAAAGATCACAAAAATCCT